TAGAATAAGGCAGATATTTGAATGCAATCACACTTTATGTTATGTGACTTAGCTAAATGTGCTTGTATATGTGTTGTGTACTTTACATATTTGTTACAAAATCACATTTAGGAACTACATATTAAAGGGCTGTTTAGTTTAAGTTGCCATTGTTTGAAGAAACTTTGATCGCTTGCCTAGATAGTGAGCTAACTGAGCTACCCTATGCTGTGGCAAGGGTGCTCGTCCGAACGATGCCGAGCCCAATTACAGGCCCTCCCATTCACAAACTGCGCGCGCCACGCATGATCTAAAGCTGCGTTTAGGTCGATGGGGTCTGAAAGCTAAAGACCTTTTTATATGCTATGATTTTTTTATTTTACTATGTGTACGTACATGCAATAAGATACTAAATAAGTGCGAATAAAGGAACTTATGCCCGTTTTAATCTTCAATTACTAATTTTTATGTGACTCCTATGTAAACAAAATGCCTGTTATGTGTTACCATAGGGGTCACTTAAAAGTTAAGGATTGCTGGTGAAAACGGGCATTAAACTCCCAACATAATTTAAGAAATCGATTTAATAAAATTTAAAGGGTGCAAAATACGCTTTAACTCTATATCAAGCTATTATACACTGCACCATCTTTGTAGTTTTAATACTTACTCGTATTCTATATCAACCAAAATGATGAGTCTGATGAAGCGACGATTGTACTTCTTAACGGACATATCATGGGTTTTAAGCAAAAATATAATCTACGATAGAATCAAAGGAGCTACATCGCAAATTTATCTACTTTTGATTCACTTTCGTATTCAAGGGCGTCCACACGCATCCAAAACCGTTGCAAAAGATTTTATTGTTAAGCAAAACTTATTACAGCAAGCAAAGCACGTCGCTCTACCTAGTCAAGAACTTTTTACAAACGTCCTTGAAGCAAACAAGATGATTGTCCAATCTGAAGGGTCACGCCCGCGGCGTCTGGAGCCCATTCACAAATCCCTGAACCTGTTTTAGATCCTGAGAATGAATGGAGGGTAAGGGATTTAGTTTGCAGTTAAAACGTTTCGGGGGAAAGATATTGGGAGGTTATTGAAATCGGGGATCGGTTGTGACACTGCTAATGCTATATTTTTAACGCGCAGTGTAGGGCTGCTATAAATTGTTGTGGAGATACTTTAAGAGTAGGCGCACACCGTTGATTTTTAGTTGGCCGATAGTTGTGCCCGATTTTAAATTGTATGAAGAATCGGCCAAATCGAATCGGCGTAGTGTGCGCACTCCCTACATACATGCCCATACTGATCAACTGCCCGACTAAACTATCGGCCGACGAAAAATCAACGGTGTGCGCCTACTCTAAGTAAGATATAACTGCACAACCGTGTATGTAAGATGAGATTGTTAAATGGTTATGTTTAGAAATGTGATTAGGTATTATTCTCTGTGACTCTATAAAATATTCGTAAAAATGAATCCCCAATTTCCTATAATAGACTCTTCTAAGAACAAGCTTTGTCGGGGTTAAAAATTTAAACTACAGTATGGAGAGTGCAGGCAAATCCTCCGTTTTCTTCCTGTTAATTATACAGCATCGTAACCTATAAATAACAGTGAAGAAAGGAGAGTAATGCCCGTTTTCACCATTAATTCCTAATTTTTAAGTGTCCCCTATGGTAACGTATAACAGGAATTTTGTTTTCAAAGGGTTCACTTAAAAGTTAGCGATTGATGGTGAAAATGGGCGTAAGTGTACTAATTATAATGAGTACCTACATACGAGTATATTGTATGTCATAATGTTTCTTTTCTTTTTTATTTCTGTCTTACCATACCATGTCATATTGTCCTGAGGGTACTATTTTATCCTACTTTTGATACTTTCTGTTTGTAATGTGTGTTTCTGTTATGAAAATAAACGCTTTATATAACTATCTATCTATCAGTAAAGTTTTAATAATAACTGATATTTGATGATAATCTAATAGACGGACTTGTCTTAGCCCAGAATCAGTATTTTTTTATTTGTTAAAACTTAGACATAATGTTGTTGCATGTCGGTTCCGGAGGTAGCGGGTTCGATTCCCGCACAGTACAAACATTTGTGTGCATGAACATATTTGTTTGTATTGGACTGGGTGTTTTCTATGTATAATAAGTATGTATTTATAAAAAAAAGTATTTAAGTATATTTATATCCGTTGTCTAGTACCCATAGTACAAGCTTTGCTTAGTTTGGGACTAGAAGCGCAGTGTAAAATGTCCAAGGATATTTATTTATTTATTATTTATTATGTTATCCGGCAATTGAGAAATCGTCTCTACAACCTTTTTATCTACATATAAATCTTTTTACTAACATGTACATTGTACATGTATGGAATGCCCCTAACTCAGGTGTAACGCCGACGAAACCGTACCGCTTAGAATTAATTTGATGTCCGAAGATAATTGCCCCGCTTTGTTTTCAACTCCCCATCCAATTAAGGTTCCTTTTCTATTAAACTACACCACAATATCTTTTGAATCTTTTTGGACCGGAGTAGGAAGTGTAATTTTTATGGGGCCCTCTCCGGTGTAAATGTTGTGTACCCCTGTTTTTAGACGGTTATTCTCTTCCTTATTGCACTATAAAATTAAATGAATATTAACAGACCCGAAAGTAGCAGGAAAACAAAATTACCTACGAATTTCTATTAGTCTCAATGATATTTCCAAGATTTTTGTCGTTCTAGAGCTTAAAAGTCAGTTGAGTTCATTGTCAACACGTATACTTACTAGAGTCTTGACAATTCAATTGCTAGAGCAATGCATTGAATTCATATTAAAATAATTTTTCAACCCCCATAATTTAGTTACATAATAGAGTTGATCGAAACAATTTACCAAACATCTAATTTAAGCAAGTACTTTGAAACAAAATTTCCAATGCTTCTTTATTTTTACTGAAAATAATTATCCTTTCTTAAAGCTATTATTTTATCATAGTACAAATAACATATAGTTGCGTGTAGCTCATTATTCAGGCACGGATTCGCACAGTGATCCGCACAAGTGGTCATTATGGACAAAATAGATCGTAATTTTTAATTCGAGCAACAGCGGCGCCCGCGCAATTAAGGCGTGGTGGGCGTCGATCTTTCCCTTGAAGACGACAATGATCGGGATTCACAAGTCACGATGCGATTACGATACGACTAGCGATTATATTGTGAAAAGGGGGAAAAAGATTATGTTTTCTTTGACTATACTTGTAAATTATTATGTATGTATTCTTCGAAACTGGCATTAAACGTACAAATAAGAGGTTTAAAGTAAGTATGGCTCTGCCACATACACTTAGCCAGCTGTCGTTTTATGAATAAAACTAATTATTTAATAACACCATTTATGAGTTAGGGGCCGTTCAAGTATTACGTAAGCACCAAGAGGGGGTGGGGGGGTCTCTGTTTTGCTTATTTTGGATGACATGGGGGGTAGGGGGGTTTATTACGTCATCGTTAGTTATTTCATCATTGCAGACGTTGTGATAACTGATAGGGATAGAGACATGCGATTTTTGGTTTTACGAAAGTAATACGATAGAGAATAATACAAAGTAATAAAAACCACCGGTTATAGGGACATTTTTTGGAGAAATTGATTAAATAACCAAAAAAAACACGAATTTAAATTGAAAAGCAGTTTTTTTAATCAAAAAGTATAATTTTTATTATTTGTTGGCCTTTTTTGTGTATTTTATGTATTTGATAGAAGATGATAAAAATAGGTCTAGTTTCATCTACATATTTTTATATGTACACTTTAACGTGACTCACACTGTATAAAAAACATTTATAACTAAAAATGTTTACGTAAGCATAGGGGGAGGGGGTAAGTGCTTTGCTTACTTTTGATGACAAGGGGGACGGGGGGGTAAAAAATGGTAAGAAATCTGCTTACGTAATACTTGAACGGCCCCTTAGCCAAAATTTTCCTAATATACATAGAATAACTTTACGCTTATAACATACTCAATGTCATCTTCACTTTGCGATCTCTACACGCTGGATAAAGAATTCGTAGTCGCATGGTGTAAAATCGATAAACCATAATTTCTATTGTTTTTTACTCGTTATACTAGCGATATTGTAATGAAAGTGAACGATGTTGCTTTGCTTGTTCGCATCGCGTAGCTTTACGAGGATTAATTACGTCTAAATATTTATAAATGTACAGTTAGTTCGCGGTTACTATTTTATAGCTTTTATTTTCGGTCGCCAAAGAATGCCAATGGATCAGTCAAGTGTAAAATCATTACATATTTTTTTCACATTGTTTTGTTGAATATTTATAGGTGTTTATAGAGATTGGTCGTGGGAAAGAATTTTTACTGGCCATATTATTAACTTAATGTGAAAGACATAATTGCTTGTTTACAGGATCAGGTTAATAGGCTATTAGGATGGCAATTTTCTTTAATTTAGATATTTTTAAGTCTGTGTGAGTATAGCTTGGAACTTAAGTTTGAGTAAATTGACAAAAAATAAAACTTTTTGTACGAAAAGTAAAAGCGAACACTTAAACAAAAACTGCGGAATTGAAAAATATATAAAAGTTTCACACATTTATAATGAAAGTTTCACATAGTTGATGTGGGATCTAAGTTACAACAATAGATACAATAAACTTATAAATATTGTATCAAGTTCTAACAAGGACTTAAAGGTTAAGTAATGCATTACGTACTGTAGCATAAAAACCATGTATTAAGTCAGAAAGCGAAGCCATTACTTTTTTATTACGCTGAGGCTACATTAAATAATAAATGGGGCATATACTACCCTTAATCCGGCCTAAGGCGGGGTCAATGGCTTACATTTTCAAGGTACTTACATATTTTGGGAGAGTTGTTATTGATATTATGTTAATTTTTAAAATAACGGAGTTCTCAAAATCGCCAACAGTCATGGCCCACTGTGCATAATTGCCTAAGAATTTCGGGAAAAATGGGTAAAAGTCAAGCACCACCAACCTGAATGTAATGCGAATGAGTAGACCACACACAAAAACTATCAAAAAACACAAAACTTCACGAAACACTTGATCAACAAACTCACAAAACGGCACTCAAAAATCGTCAATTCACCCTAGACTACCGAATCCAGTGTCGTCCGTTCATAAATCACATACGCACATGTTTTCACACATGTGTACAATTGTCACGCACACGTAGCGAGTGTCGTGTGCACGGCGTGATGTTACGCACACAGTTGCAAGCTCACAGGCGCGCGCGCAATCAATTTTCGAATCACGAAGCGCGCAGGAGTTGTTCTCAGAACGCGTGCGTGTGTATTGCGGTCGTAGTCGACACTACCGCGCGAACCGATATCTGTGGTTACTGCTTTGTTTAGCTTTCGATAGAAAAAATATCAACCCTGGAAAGCTGATTTTAATGTTTTTACGAACTGCGCCAGAAAGAGGGCTATGTTTTTGAAGACTCTTATAGTGAAGAGTTTAGGTAGGAAGGAACATCGTATAGGTATTTAAATTCGTGAATTAATACGAATACAAAATGTTTGTGTAGGACCTAGATTGTAATAACTATTTACTTCTTTAATTTGTAATGATTGTAATGTAGATACTGATGAAGACGAACAAAAACACTGTTTATAAACAATTAATAATATCGGACGAAATGTAGATCCTGATTCCTTTACAGTTTCGAGGAAAGCCTATTTTTAGCAAAATCGATCAAACTGATTGGGAAGCCTTGAAAAGCTTTCAGCGAGTTTATTTTGGAGGTTTTACGCGAGTACTTCATGCAAATTCTTTTTTTGTTTATTTGGAGCTGGTTATTATGACTGTTAAAGTATTAACAAATAAAATACATAATGTAATCGGCCTAAGCACGCTCTACTGTGGAATGTTATACATACTTGAATTACATAATTATTTAAATTAGCTGAGCTCTAAAAAAGTTAATTGTAATGTTCAATTTCATCGTTATTTTATTCTTTTGTACAGAAGCCAATCCAGTGAACCATAGAATCCAGTAGTTAATTAAGAATCGATGTCCTAACTAATTCCACATTCGGCCTTTGGGAACAACCTGACGTCACCGTTGGCAGTGGCTACGTGATAGGTTTTTTCTAATTGTACTAACCGGACGTGACATTGTTTGAATATCCTGCGCACAGTGGGCGATGGTGTGTGAATTGGAGAAAAACACAATTTGGAGTATTGGTTACAAATAATGTTTTTAACCATTAAAACCCCGCGAATCGAGACAAAATCAATTATTACGCAGTCTTATGAGTTAAATAAGACTCTTTATCTTCATTAAGTCATTGAACGCCGAGACGCTAGACACAATGGAAATTGTATTGTTCGAGGCTCACCGGTGAGCCGCGTGGCGTCCAACGTGTTAAGGTTATGTAGAGGTAAATCCGATACTGAACCTGTTTGGCTTCCATAACCCATAGGAACTAGGACTCTGGACAAAAAATATAGAAATCTGGACAAGAAACACCTGTGGGTCTAGACAAAGTGCAATTTAAAATCGCAAACCAGCCGAAACCGAAAGATGGTCGAGGGGCCTTTTTTTGTATTGATGATAAATGACGGATTCGATTTTCGATTCGATCAAAAAGTGCCACTTGTCTAGGGGGGCTGAATTCCATTCCCATCCATATCCGGAAGTCTTTATGATATAAATATTCGTTGTTAATCGAAATACACGACGACAGAACCTTGTTTATTGGGAGCGTAACTCCTTCAAAATTCCAACTTACTTTCATGAATTTTAATGACTAATTAAACATCCGAAACAAATAAATAAAGCACTTGCCGACAGTTGTTTTGAAGTTGATTTCACTAATTGGATGGCGACCTTGTCGATTATATTAATTAATTATAACAAATAATTCAAGGTAGGTACGCTTGTTTAGCGTTAATTTTAGCATCCTCTTTTTAACAGACACACAAAATAGCAACTGCTAGTTACTTTTGAGTTGCATCTAAGTTTCTGCCATAGCGTCCGTTGAGAGACCACACATGACGCGACCAGTTTGAAACTTTCAGTTTCATTCATCAGAATGATCAGAAAGTTTCAGTTTCGTTACAGTTGCGTTTTACCGTCTGTTCTGGGCCTAAGAGGTTTTTTTACGTATTTCTCATAAAAAAGCCTTTGATCTTAAAAGTCACATAAACGTCTAAATCTATCCAGCTTTGCTGAAAAAGGTCTGCATGCCAGATGGGACAAGATAAATAAAAAGATAGTACGCAACTACTATTCCAAAAAGGTCGCAGATGATGTAATAGGGTTTAATATTTAAAGGGCTCAAGACAGAGCCTGGCAGAATGTTTCTGAAACTTTTGAGATTCCCTTTTTAAGGGCTTAGGACTGTGTGCAGTGTGAACGCCTAACATTGCATAATACTGATATTATTGGTGTAACACTTCAAAATAAGCTCTACTGAGTGTGTTTTCGAACAACTTATTTATTTAGCTCGAATAATGACATTTTTCTTCATGTGAAGATCTGGTGACTCGTGAAAGTATGTTTAAATTCATAATGATGAATATAAAACGAAATTCATCTTTATTTTCGCTGTTAAAATAGCATAACGTCTATTATTTAACTTCTTTAGGAATTATAACCGTAGTTTTTCGCAACGCCCAAGAACTTTGAATAGTAATTCAAAGGGCATTCCTTTCTTTAAAAAATCGTGGGGCAAACAAGCACTTAGGTCACCTGATGAGGGGACCACAAGGCCATACTTTGAGAATCACTGACCCAAAAGAAGTAAGTAGATCTTGGGATGAGTAGTGTGAATTCTTAAGAGGATAGTCCATCTGTTTCGATTTATACTGCGTTTATTTGGGAGCGAATATCCTTTTTATTGTATCTGTGTCGATGTAACTGTGATCTGTCATGTTTTATTCAGGTTTGTCGAACTTTTCCTTCGAAGTAGTCCGTAGTAACTTAATCTAGATCCAATTTTATAAGTAAGTCTTTACGTTTCGGACCTTAGCAAGAGTGAAAATCGAATTGGCATCATTAATTAATAGCCTTTCATTTAATATTTTAGTGGTTAAAACCTATAGTAATTTCATTGTATGTATGGGTTGATGTTTGCCACTACTTCTCGCAAAAGAAAATGGGTGCAAATGTTAGTGTTTTCAGCTACTTACTTCGTTTTATCAATTGAGTTGGCGAAATAATGTGAACTAAATGTGTTTTATCAGCTCATAGGTGCATCAATTGATTGCTTTCTTCCATTATATCGATTGCCATTTATGGTCTCTGTCCCCAGTAATCTGTCTACTGGACGTTACTTTACTTTGTTTGGATCGACCACAAGCAAATCAGGGTGAAGCTAATACATTAATTGATCCGCTTACAGCTTTGATTTTAATCCAATGGAGATTGCGGCCCATAATGAATGCCCCAAGCAATTATATCCGAGCTCTGTCCACTCGAGACGGGCGGAATAACTAAAGTCCATCTGTGGATTTGCGGCTGTCGTGTTTATGTAGATTTTGTCTTACATCTCGTCACAGTTGTAGTCTAAGCAACTGTTAACGTAATTAACATTTTACTAAAATTAAGTTTAAATAAATACAATTCACAAATGCTTATGTATTTTAGTGTTATAGTAAGCGGTTATAAGAACGATTCTTCGTTAGGATACGCATAGTTCCAATCACTTCTTTTGGTAATTGTAAAACAAGGGTTGTGATTGTGACTTTAGTTTTACTCCGCAAGTTATAAGGAAAACAAAAGTAGGTAATGTCACCTTTTCCAGCTGTAAAGGATTCATAAAACAAAAATTTCCTCTATCATGACAACAAAGTAAAAAAATAGTCCATTAACAGCAATAAATGGTTTGAACTTTAATTAGTTAGATTATACAGTACTCTTCAGCTCTAAACTTTGTACAACTAATTTGAAAGTTTCAAATTAATTAATCCACGACCGAAACACTCAGCTAATGAAATGCAAATTGTAAGAGCTGGTCCGTTTTCACCGTTCTCTCACCGTCTAAAACACCGCACAAAAAGCACTTGTAAATTAACAGAACTATGTCATATCCTTTATCCGCCACCGCTTCCCACGTCATACTTGCCGTATGCGCAAGTAATCGTACACCAAATTGAGACGTCCTTATTTGATCGACATTAAAGTTTAAAATCGTGTGGCGTGTTATTCTTTATGATATAGGATTCACGCCTCGCGAGGTCGAGACTTCCCGTCGCTTCCTGGGGTTTACTTTTTAGATTTTTTTACATTTTGGGGTTCAGTGAGAAAACATTTAAACTGTTATTTCCTGACAACACATTTAATTACTCGATGGTTTGTACGGTTAAGATTCAGTTACCGATATGCATCAGTTAATTGCATGCCAACTTTGACGTTCTGCCTTAATGATATTTGTATGCCCCCGAGGCGGTACGACGTGTAATATGCTAAAATCGACGACACATTGAGTCTGTTTGTTTGTTTGTAGCGAAGGAAGTCAACAAACTAACTATGACATCATTATTTCTGTGTCCAGGGTTAAATCAAGCCTATTAATAATACCTACAACCTACAAAGTAAGTTAAAAAAGAAGGCAGAAATTTTGATAACTGAAAGCCCAACTTAATTTTAATTACATAACTTACACAGTGGTGTTCTATTTCTTAAAACTTTAACTTTCCCCATCTGAGCAAAAGTTTGACTTGGATCTCTCCACTGTGCAATATTTCAAGGAGAAATTCATTTTTCACTTTTGGTGTTACTTTTTGAATTTGGGCACTAACTAGTTACGGAACTCCGGTCCTAACACAACAGACGTGTATTTTTTCCCTCTTTTTGCCCACCTCGGAGCACCGTGCATGCCATTGTGTTAATCCTTGCAAGGCTTTTATTTTTGTCTAGAAAATATAGCGCGCAACCCACTGGGTTTGGTACATACTTGTTTTGAAGTACGTTTTCGTGTTGATTTGAATTCAAATTGAAATTTTGATATGAAAATTGCTTTGTAATTTGTATTTGATATTTGCGATTGTTTGTTCGCTTGATGATACAGAAGTAGGTAAATAAATATGCACTTAATTGCTTATTTAATAGTTAAATAAGAGATGGAGAATGGGTATGGTGAAAAGGTAACGTGAAGAAAATAATTGGTTTGAATACAATACTGAAGTGAATGCTCTAGTAAGTAGTCACTGTCATTGATTCAGAAATTAATTTGCATTAATTTAGGGGTACATAAATTAAACCACGTGGGGAATGTAAACTCCAAATCCTCCATTTGCCTCTTATAAATGAGAAAGGATTGTGCTCCTGCAAACAAGAATAAATCACCTGAT